TCTTTCAAGGCCACTGAATCCAATAGACCCTAATGGGAGCCAATTGAACATTAAAGATGTACTGAGGGCTGGTCTGGAGGAATCAAGTAAAGGATCACCAGGGGGCGTGGCTGGAGGAGGAAGTCACGCCCACAATAAAGGTACAATAATTATTAAATAACTTTAATGAATTAATTTTTGTCTATTAGTTTCTAATAAAACTGAAAATCTTTGGCAAAATTGGATGTCTTCAACAAACGATAATTTAGTAGAGGATCCTAAGACCACACCCACTACAGCCCCGCCCCCAGCAGCCAGCAATACTTCCCCATCATCTGCCACTAGCTCAAGCCTCGTTAAACCAAACCACGCCCACACCTGCCAACATGCTGCAGTCACTCAATCAGCTGATAATAGCACACAAACACAGTATGTGGTATACCGTATAGGGGGCATGTTTCCCGGGGAAATATTTCACAAAAATCACCTTTCGACCTATTCACAAGAAGAAATTATTGCATTTTTTTCTACTGACCATTATTAGTATGATTGAAAAAAATTCTATAGTTAAAAAGTTTCATGAATTTTTTTGAACTGCGAAATTAAATCCCTATGAAATATACCACCCCCTGTACGGTACTCATCATTGTGTACTGTACATGTGCCTCTCCTCATTTCTAGTGTTGCTAATGGATCGACCAATGGATCATCAGGCCCTGTCAGGAGATACTGTCCTTGCTGCTACTGTGAACTATTTGGACACAACTCGGTAATTTTTGTGACCTGTGGCGAAGCACCCAGGTCGTTCCTATAATTGATTTCACCCACTTGCAATGTATATAATTGTTTGTATGTTGGCACTTACACTTCTATACACGTTGTATTGAAGAAATAACAAGCCTTAGCGACCACCCGCCCACGCTCGCTTTACGTAGTGGGTGTGGTCATGGCAAACAAAATGGCGGCTTACGCACGGGACGAAGTTATGAGCTTTCTAACAGCAAGAAAACAGAGATGCTGTCTAATGACTTTTCTAGAAGCACTAGAAGGTAGAAAGAACCTTTATAAGTTCCCAGCTATGCGGCAAGGTGGTGAAAACAAATTATAGGAATTTTCACACTTACGCAATGATGTATATAATGAACCTACTGTAGCTATTTATTGCATTTTTGTACTTTTCAGCCAATCACGGCTCCAACCAGTCACAATTACACCAAACAGAGGGACAAGATGAGACAAAAACTGGAAAAGAAAAGGAACAAGAAAGATGGAGAAGTAAGTATACAGATTGAGGGAGGGAGGGATAACCATTCAGTAGGAAGAACAGGGCACAAAGTTAGGCTGGGGGCAAACCAGCACAGTTTTCCACATTGTAGAGTAGACTTCCATCTAAAATTTAAATTTTGATAATGAATTCCAGGTGTGACTTTTTCATCTGAAAAGCTTAAAGGGACAAGACTTGCCCCTCCTTAGAAATGGGCCCCTGCCCCTGGCAAACAAGCATGTCATGCATGTACATGTACATGTATGTACATTTGTGTACATGTACATGTTGTATATACAGTCAAACCTCTCTAAGACGGACAGCTATGGGCCAGCCATCACTGTCCTTTATACGGAGGTGTCCTTAAATTGGAGGTTATCCATTGCTAATCAGACCAGAAAATCTGCCATTTTCTTGATGCGTGTTAATTAGAAAGTCCATTGCGTGGGCCGTGTTCGTCCGTTGGAGGTTAATTTGTACACGTGTAGATGTGTGGGGACAGTAAATCTCGTCCGTTATACAGAATGGACTACCCAATGGCCTTATGGCCGGGACAAGAGCAACTGTACGTTATAGAGAGGTGTCCGCTAATTGGGGGTTCGTTTTAGAGAGGTTTGACTATACATGTAATATCATACATGTACATCTCTTATGTACATGTACAGTGTACATGTATATTACATTTCTGTCTTGTTAGCATGTTCATCAGTGTCCCCACGGGTATCCTTATCCTGTTCCTCATCACTCCTATCACTCTCACTCTCCACCCGCCAACCAATCAAGTGTAAAGACTCATCCAGCCCCTCCCCCTCCTCCTCCACCTCCCCCTGCTCCAGCTCCAGCTGTTGTAGTTGAGACTAAAGTGGCCACACCTCCTACCCCACCCTCTATTGGAGACGACCGCTCGCTGGACGAACTACTGAGATTCATTGAAGGAAAGGATTTCGTTGAGCCGACCAGCAACGGAACTAAAACAAAGAAAAAGAATAAGAAGAAAAAAGTAATTGAATACATGTACACGTATCTGGGTTAATAATTTGCTGTTGAATGCTCCATAATGTACATCATACATTCCATTCCTTAGATTCTATAGGAACAAAAACAGGATTCAAAGTGTATCATTTTTATGATGCATTTTACATTGTTGTATACCCAGCCTAATTATATGTACTAATTTTAGCAGATGGTGTAGTTAACAAATACTGATATTTGATATTTTAATTACATGTAGATACACAATTACACATGATATTTTAATGATGTTTTCAGGTAACAGAATCAGTTGCTGTCTCTTCATCATCTTCTGGTAGTGATAACAATCAGTCACACGTCACTATTAACAGAGTCTCTGATCCTCCCCCTCCTCCTCCTCCTCCTCCTCCTCCTGTCACTTCTCCTTCCCCTCCTCCTCCTCCTTCCCTTCCTGCTATCAGTAAGATGGAGAGTGTTGGAGGAAAGGGTAAGGCTGGGGGTGGAAAGGGACCGGCAGGAGGGAGCGTGGCTAAAAGGGAAGAGAAAGGAAGAGCAAAGCAGCAGGCATTAGTTAATGGAGGAAAGAAAGGTAAGTGTAAACATGTAATGATAATAGTGATAATGATAATAACATTGTATTGTTATTGTTATTTTAGGATCTCCAAGTCCACCAGTCACAAAGAAACAGACCTCACAACCTTCGCCTAAAGTAAGTATCACCTGGGACTATGCCTACATGTATGTGTACATGTATGTGTACTTACTTGTGTATGTGGTACATGGTATACTCTTGTTTTGTGTCAAGCTATGGTATGATAATTGAGAATGTTAATTTCATCTCCTTATAGCCAACCCGTAGCAATAATGCCTCCAGCAGGAGTTCTAGCAAGAAAACCTCTCATCAATCCAATGGCATTGGTAAAGGTGATAATAATATGCATACACAATTAGTCTATTAGGGAAAAGTCTAATCCTTTAATTCTTCCTTAGGCATATACAGTGCTGCTGATCCATTGATTACTGATAGATCTATGGTAGGGAAGAGAGAGATAGAGAGAATATTTATGGCATGTTGTATATGTATCATATTTAAATTTTCTACTTCTATAGCAGTCTGACACTGAAGAAGACTATGATCAAGAACTTGAAGACTTCAAAAAGTAAGTTTGAAGTGTTAGATTACACATTGATTCCTCTTTCCTCCTTAGACTTTGCTTTAGTTCAGCTCCTGTTGATGCTAAAAAGAAGCTTCATGTTTCTCTGAACATGCAGGACATCATTTCCAAAATGAAGTGAACCTTTGCCACACACAAGTATCTTATTAGTAGAGACTTTCCACTCAGTTTATTGTTATTATTATTGTTGTTATTATTTTGATTTCTCTTTTTCTTGCCCACTGATGCTACACTAATGAGTATAGAGGACATAAAACAGACGGACAGACATTGTTTTCCTCATGTTTAGAACCCTCCCTCACTCTTTTCAGTTCAAATGTGTCAATATTATTATTATTATTATTTGTGATTATGCTATGATAACAATACCGAACTAATGGCTGATGAGTACTGACATTTCAATGCTTCTACTGCAAATTTAGTTACACCTATTATTTATTAAAATAATGTTTTTGACATACATAGCCTTTTGGCTAAAAAAAGTTACAGAGGGTGACTCGTGGTTTAATCATGAATATTAAAAAATTACAGATTACTACCATTTTCAAGTATTTTCATTATGGTTATTAAAAAATGCTACACAACTGGATTGCTTCATACATTTCAGAGTTCTTTCTATAATGATTTGCACTGTTTTGTACAAAATAGAATCTAATCAACAAAAATTAGAGTGCAGGGTCATAATTTAGCTTAACATATGAAGTAGATATTCCTGGAATCGAATACCTCAGGCATGATTGTAAAAGTATTTCGGTAGTTCTAATTTAAGTATTAAAAGCAGCTCAGTAGATCTAGCTACATGTATATGCCTATTGTAAATTTAAATGAACTAAAGTTTTCATAATGAGTTTGACTGAAGTTCATGCAATTGGAATCCAGAAACAATGCATGCAAAAATTGTTTATTTGCAACACTGAGCTCAATTAGTGGCTACTCTGATCCTCCATCTTGCTTGAAGGTGTGGCTCGAAGCCATGAGTATTAGTTTAGAAATTAGAACGATTGCGGTATTACGTAGATCTAATCTGGCAATAATTTTGCAACGCAGTGAGCGCACGTAGAACGTTCCTCCATTCATTGAATGGCAAAAGTTCCTGATCGGATCGATGATGATAATAAGTTTAATGAATTGGTCTCTAATAAAACTGAGAGTATTTGGCAAAATTGGATGTCTTCAACAAATGATAATTTAGTGGAGGATATTAAGACTACGTCCACTCCAGCCCCGCCCCCAGCAGCCAGCAATACTGCCGTATCATCTGCCATCATAGATATTACACGTACGTGTAATACCTATGTTGCCACTAGCGCTAGCTCAAGCCTCGTTAAACCTATGGTTAAACCAAATCACAACGAGAATTTAGTGGATCTGGAGGATCCAAAGGCCACACCTACGACAGCCCCGCCCCCAGCAGCATCTGCGGCAATCTGCCACACTTGCGACAACCATGACCACAGCCACACCTGCCAAAACACTGCAGCCACTCAATCACAATCAGCTGATAATGGCACACAAACACAGTATGTGTTATACTCAATTGCCTCTCCTCATTTCTCTTGTTCTTTAATAGCATTGCTGGTGGATCGACTAATGGGTCAACTAATGGATCATCATCAGGTCCTGTCAGGAGATACTGTCCTTGCTGCGATTGTGACCTATTTCAACAAAACTCGGTAATAGTTGCACAATTGTACATGCACTACCTAGGGCTGGTCTTACACGTATGTTGCATCTTTTATAAATGGTCATGCAATGATATATAATTATTATAAACCTACTGTAGCTATTTAATGCATGAGGTTATTTTTTGTCCTTTTTTTAGAAAACAAGGTCTCCAACCAGTCACAATTACACCAAACAGAGGGACAAGATGAGACAAAAACTGGAAAAGAGAAGGAACAAGAAAGACGGAGAAGTAAGCACGTATATGCATGTATGTACATGTACGGATTAAGTTAGGCTGGGGGCAAACCAGCACAGTTTTCCTGCATAGTAGAGTAGACTTCCATCTAAAATTTAAGTTTTGATGATGATTGAAAAATCCCACGTGAGACTTTTTCATCTGAAAAGGGACAAACTCGCTCCTCCTTAAAAATGCACCCCTGGCCAAAGAAGCATGTCATGCATGTACATTTAAATGTACATGTACAGATGTATATAATGTCATACACCTATTATTATGTATACTGTATTCTTTCTTGTCACCAGTGTCCCCGTGGGTATCCTTATCCTGTTCCTCATCACTCCTATCACTCTCACTCTCCACCCACCAACCAATCAAATGTAAAAACTCATCCAGCCCCTCCCCCTCCTCCTCCTGCTCTAGCTCCTGCAGTTGAGACTAAAGTGGCCACACCTCCTACCCCACCCTCTATTGGAGATGACCGCTCGCTGGACGAACTACTGAGATTCATTGAAGGAAAGGATTTTGTTGAGCCGACCAGCAATGAAAATAAAACAAAGAAAAAGAATAAGAAGAAAAAAGTAATTAAATACATTTACATGTACACGTATACATACTCACTTGGGTTAATAATTTGCTGTTGAATGCTCCATAAATGTACATTATACATTCCATTCCTTAGATTCTATAGGGTTCAAAGTGTATCGTTTTAAAAATGATGCATTTTACACATACATTGCTGTATAAACCCAGCCTAATTATGTGTACTAATTTTAGCAGATGGTGTAGTTAAAAAATACTGATATTTGATATTTTAATTAGATACACAATTACGCATAATATTTTAATGATGTTTTCAGGTAACAGAATCAGTTGCTGTCTCTTCATCATCTTCTGGTAATGATAACAATCAGTCACACGTCACCATTAACAGAGTCTCTGATCCTCCCCCTCCTCCTCCTCCTCCTCCTCCTGTCATTTCTCCTTCTCCTCCTCCTCCTTCCCTTCCTGCTGTCAGTAAGATGGAGAGTGTTGGAGGAAAGGGTAAGGCTGGGGGTGGAAAGGGACCGGCAGGAGGGAGTGTGGCTAAAAGGGAAGAGAAAGGAAAAGCAAAGCAGCAGGCATTAGTTAATGGAGGAAAGAAAGGTAAGTGTATACATGTAATGATAATAGTGATAATGATAATAACATTGTATTGTTATTATTATTTTAGGATCTCCAAGTCCACCAGTCACAAAGAAACAGACCTCACAACCTTCGCCTAAAGTAAGTATCACACTGGTGAATATGCATGTATATGTAAATATGCTTAAATATGTACATGAATGTGTAAGTGAGTGTTTGTGTATGTGGTGGTATACTCTTGTTTTGTGTCAAGCTAGGACATGATAACTGAGAATGTTAATTTCATCTCCTTATAGCCAACCCGTAGCAATAATGCCTCCAGCAGGAGCTCTAGCAAGAAAACCTCCCATCAATCAAATGGCATTGGTAAAGGTGATAATGATACACATTAGTGTTGTTCTAGTTCTTATTTTTCAAATAGTTCTAGTTTTAGTTCTAGTTCTAAGCCTTAATTTACTTAGTCCTAGTTCTAGTTCTGGTTCCAAATTTGCAGTT